CGCGATTTACCACATAAACCAATTAATCTGGAATTGTATGAACAATTTGCTTTGCTAACTCGTACGATATATACGGAGTACTGGAATTACTTCATCGTTTTACTTTGACTAACTAATCACATTTTATATTATGTACTCAAACAATAAGCAGGAAATGTCTGTGTCTCTCGATTACGAGTTAATTCATTAGCCAACGAATAATTTTATAGACCAAGATTTTTAATAATTTATTCATGTCCAGAGAGTGATACCTAATGATCTCATCATGATTCATGATCACCCTATCAAAGCACACGCAGTGCTTGACATGGCTACTAACCAATAATTAAAAAAAAAATACTTACATTAAAATTATTAATTACGTAAAAGAAGATGCTTAATTCAAAGAGTTACAGACTGGGGAGAAAGAAATAAATTGATTTTTAGTCCGGAAAACCCCAATTTATATCATTTACCAATAAAGCAAAAAATCTACAAATTACAATGAATTCAAATTTGCTCAAATATGTGAACAATATAAAATACTTAGGAATAAACATTGATTCTAAATTAACGTTCACAAATCATGTAAGTTATATTACAGAAAAAACTAATAAATTATATAATAAGCTAAGGATGTTTGTGCGACCCACATGGGGCGTACACCCTGAAAACGTCAAAACGATTTATAATCAAGTAATTACACCCATTATTACATACGGTGCATCTGTTTGGGAGCCAGCACTTAAAAATAAATACATTCAGAAAAAACTGATATCTTACCAAAGGATGTTCAGTATGCAAATTATTCGTAGTTTTAAAACCATCAACACACCACTTTCAATAGTATTTTCACAATTACCTCCACTCCCCGCACAAATAAAAGCTACAGCTGACAATGAGAAAACAAAACTAGACCAAACCACTAAATACTTACCAAAAGATATAATGCTTGAAAGTCTTGCACACCCACGCAAAAGATTGCACCCATCTTTACGAAAACCAATCATGTATTACATTGTTAATAACGAAGAAGATTTGCAAAAAATATTCTTAGAACACCCTGAAATTACTTATCACCTATATACAGACGGCAGTAAATACGATGAAAACGTCGGCGCTGCTGTCATAATACAGAATCCTGATAGTATAATTGACCAAAAATCCATTAAATTGCATAGTTCGTGCTCAGTCTACCAGGCTGAGCAGTTAGCAATATCCACCGCCTGTGAATGGATAAAGACACAAAAAATCAGTGCCTTTCTTATCACTGATTCGCTATCTACCCTTCAAGATTTATGCAATATTAACACATTTAACCAGCATGCAATAGAAACTTTTAATAACATTCACAAAATTGAAACATCAGGGCAAACAATCAAATTTGTTTGGGCAAAAGCTCACAACAATATTTTCGGAAATGAATTGGCTGATATTGCGGCCAAGGCTGCTGCTGGGTCGCAAGTTCCAGCCGATTATGCAAAATTTCCTATATCGTTTGTTAAACAATTGAATAAAAAGTATCTGCAAAAAGAAATAGAAGATCTATATAATGCAACAAGAAACTGCACTTAAACAAAACAATTTTTACCTAACTATTCATCCCTACAAAAGTTTATTGAAAATGCATCACCAAATTTTGCTACAACCCAATTTATATCTGGTCATGGATACCACAAAGAATATCTTAATAGATTTCATATTACACCTGACCCATATTGCCCATGCGATTCTGACACTATACAAACTATGGACCATCTGATACACCATTGTCCGAGATATACTACGATCAGATATGAATTTGAAATGAAATGTAGAATAAACAACTTCGATAAAAGAGATTACGTAAATATTTCTAGTAAAAAGGAAACACTAACAGCATTTCTTAAACATCTGAATTATATTATAAATGACCTTAAAAAATTCAACAATACATAATCAATTTTATACATATGTTTAATTTTACAAATTATTATAATTATTATTTTAAAATTTATTTTTAATTTACAATCTACATATTTACATAATTATACAATTAAATATAAAATAAGTGTTTTAAAGAATATACAACTGTAAACAAACAAATATAATATACACAAAAGGTTAGGTTAGAAGAACATGACTCTAATCTGACTTTTCTTTAAATCTGCGTACACCTAAATTTCCATACATATTAATATGTTTATATATATATCTTATATATTCCAATTCACTCAGAACAATACCTACCACTTCAATAATTTGAAATATTTAAACCATATCATCATAATATTTTTGTATTTATTAATTTCAGTGTAGTAATTAGCACTGAAATCAGTAATAGTATCTATTAGCTATCTTTCTAAAAAAAAAATTGGCTTGGTAAGTTATTGAAGATAATATTAATAACCAATGCGCAAATCATATAAAAATTGTATGTGTTATTACATGCGCAAATAGGTACTACTCTAGCCCCCTTTTTAATAAACGAAGACAAAGCTTGGATTAGTTGGAATGAGGAGCTGGCGAACAAAACGGTATAATTACTTACATAAAATTAAAATTTACAGGAGCTGTATAAAACTGAATGGCACACCTACAGTGAGGTTTTGGCATGGTTTTTCAATTTAAAAAATTGGTAATTTTATCACTGTTTTAGGTGGTTTTGATTGAAAATTATTTGAGTTTCGCTTTCAAAGGGCCCGAAACCTCCTGAAGTATAAAAAAAAGTACTTTGACCAGATGCGTAATTATACCGTTTTGTTCGCCAGATCCTCAAATTGCACTTGAGTGATTGTGATTCATGTAAGTTGATTTTTCTGAGAGATAAACTTTTTTAATGTAATATAAATTGTCATGCTTGTGTACGATAGCGCAATAAATATATATTGTATTTCTACCACATACATGATAGTACTTTTATACTGATAATTAAAGTAATTCGTGCAAAATTATTCCCTAACTATTCCAAAGTATCAAAAATGCACAATGTTAATATTCAAGTTTTCACTTCTGCCGGCACTCCCTGAGTGCAACCCGACGTTTTTTTTTTTACATTTCATCTTATTGCTTTAAAAACTGTTTATATATTATGCTTTAAAGAAAATCTTTGCCTGAAATTGTCGATTGAGTATGTCAATGACCTTCTATAAAGTACGCAATTGCACAGGCGATTTTATATCTAAGTACTTACTATATTACGGTTTTCTCTCTGTGCCATATATTATTATGTTGGTCATGCTTGATATGTTTGTGTTCTGCTGTTGGGTTGTGTTTAATGAAACCTGGATCAAGGATTTTTGTAATCATATTACTTATTTGTATTTTTGTGCTGTTTTTTGCGAATATTCCCATAGTTTTTAATGTTTCCAGAAACATAATAAACATTTCTAAAATTTCCAGGTAATTTGGTAATACATCGATTCATTTTAACGAGTAACTTTAAGGGATTTTTTTTTTTACCGGCTTATCACTATTTGTGTATAATATCTGTAGCAAAAACTTGCGATTTGTCTATAATTTGTTATTTCTAATTTCCTTTATACCTACAATGGCCTACATGTTTTTGCTTTGCGAATGCGAATTAATATCTTCTAAGCATTATCTTGTAAAAAGAGGCATAATGAAGATTAGGCACAGTATTGAATTATTAGAATAAATAAATTTTAATCGTTTTGATAAAACGGAGTTTCGTATTTGGACATTTACTGTTACTACGTGTAATAAAATAAATTAAATCAATGCCACCCTTATAATGTTCAAATGAAAATGTATAAATTCAATTGCCTTAATCTGTCTGTCATAGTTTTTGCGAAGTTTTTTTTTTGATACTGAGATACGCTCATGCGAACTATTTATGAGATACTATGAAACATATAATTATATAATTTAATTTTTTGAGGCATATAATTATATAATTTAATTTCCATGATCCACTACGCGAGCCCAGTGCGGATTGATGATAACAACTGCCCTTCGAAATACGGAGGAGGTCACGAGATAAAATATCATTGGTCACCAATCAGGCGACAGGCAAAAACGAAGCGGATTAACTTCCCTAAATATAACACCCGCCCGTTGTATTCGTTGTATTTGTACGCAAAAAAAAGTCAAAGCAACACGGTTTTGACTTTTTGAACTTTTGAGCACCATTTACTATTGTTATATATTTGAAAGCCTTATGAAAGCAAAACACAATCGAAATGTTCCTGTTTTTGTAATCAGCCTATTACCTACCTTTGTTTCCGAGAACATAAAAGATTGAATAACAATCTACTTTGCCAAGAAAGAGAAATCATTTCAATTAATAAAACACAGTTTTTATAAATATATCCATTTCTAAATTTTTCACGCACACCACTCATTAAATGAAACACGTTTTGAACGAGTATAAATGCGTTTTTAATAATTTTTGACAGTATTTTTTAATACTGTAAAAAGATAATAAAAACACACCCTCAAAATCTTATTTAAAGTAAAAAAGTATTAAAAACGTATTAATACCGGTTCAAAACGTGTTTCATTTAGTTTCTGTAAATGTTGCGTGTTGCTTAGACTTTTTAGTTGTGTGTACCTATTTGTTTGATGTGTTGAGACGGCCCGTGGCCTAGTGCACTCGTAGCCGATACGGGCGAACGCTGACCGAGCTTCATCCGGGATTCGCCGGGGCCCGAGGGTGGCTTCAGGGGGCGGTTGGCCACTCCCACGCACACACGCGCATAACCCCACCACCCTTCCCTTTCCCTACTCACCACACAGGGTGTAATTTCAGGGTGTTCTACAAGTGGCTGGGCGGTGTTTTTCCTCCGTCATGACTGCCCTTAACGAATAGTCCACGGGATAGGGGATTGAACCAGGGTAGGCAACGGCGCGAGTGATCGTTTCGATATCGCGAGCGTCTATGGTGATCGCTTACTATCAGGCGGGCTATACGCTTGTTTAGCACTCTTTTAACACAAAGGAAAAGATTTACCCAAGTTCTTCGAGGAGTAAAGTATAGTAGCTTTTTCATTTCAACACACTCACTGCTAAGAGTGTTTCAGGGTGTTCTTCAAGTAGCTGAGAGGCGTTTTCCCGGCGTTATGACCGTCCTCAACGAGGCCTTGCCCGAAATCTTCGAGGAGTACAACAAGCCCATCGTGCCGGTTCGCGTGAGGGACCTCATCTTCGACGGCATGCCGCTTTGTAGGAATCCGAGCTACGTGGGCACATTGGCTTGTATTATCATCAGGCAAATCAGCAACGACATCCAGAACATGATGCCGCAGCCCGACGGCTCGATTCATTTCTCCGTCCTTAACTATGTACGTTTATTAAATATCTTTATTTTATTGATTAGAAATAAATACGCATTTACTTCATTGGAAGCTTACAAAATAATAATGAACTAATAAAAAAAATTTTTTTAGTAAGTTACACTTGTCGACCATTTTTGGGTTTTCAACACTGAACTTCTAATTAATATCTTCTTCGGAATCATAATTTAAAAAAGACTGAAGTATCTCATTGGTTTATAAATATGAGCCATATGCTTGTCAAAGTCCAGGCAAATACCACCGTATTTGTATAGGTTTAACCCTTTAGTTGAAACGTTATAAAGCAGGTACCTACATATGTAAAATGAAACAACATTTATTGTAAGAATAACGTTATTTAAACATTTTATACTGTGTAAGTACACAGTTAATACTTTAATGGTTATAATTAAAATAATTCATTATATTTTTTTTTAAATAGAGAATCGTCGATTGCCTTCTAATAACAACTCCTTTTAATAAAGTAGGTGAGTAAATAAAGGGGAGGAAAGTTAATTATGATTATAAATCTATAGAAATGTTTATTTGATAAATGCCACTCGATCCAGGCATCTGACAGGATGCTTAAGATTCTGTAGTTAAATGCTTAAAACAATATATTATTAATAAAATAATTAGGATTGTGCGAAAATTTGAATTATGACTTTAGTGGTAGATCCAAATAATTTGGTTTGAGGGTACATCTTATCAAGATATATTGCAATAATTCAATGTAAGATATATTGCTCACATCTTCTTTAGATATATTCGACTCATTATGTTATTATTAATAATCATTTAATCATGACTCTATAATAGTAGGAAAATCTACAACCCATCAATTTCGAGTAAAGGTCCACTAACTCGTCCCACTATTACTCATCAGTATTAGGGACCAATTTGTTGAAATTTTGACTTATTATTACTCATCTGTGCAGAGAAATGGCATCCCTGGAGGCCTCATGGACGTCTACAGAGGCCTAGACGATCCAGCAGACCTCGGCCGCATCATCAACTGGCAGAGCAGCCCTAATCTGTCGTACTGGACTGGAGCCAACTCCCTGTGCAACATGTTGAATGGCACAGATTCCGGAATATTCCAACCGTTCATCAACAGGGAGCATCCTTTATACGTTTTCAACTCTGACATCTGTAGGTGAGTTGCTATGGCACAGGTAATGCACAATCAGCTTGGAGATAGCTTTTGAACATGTTTTACAATTGAAATATCGTTAAAGACTGTTGTTTACAGTCTAAATTAAATATAGTATGTATACAGAAGACCACACTCTTAATGTAAGCAATATGATAGTCTGCGTTTAACATTGAGAAACTTGTTTATTAATTGCGTTATTGAAGGATGTTCTGCGTTTAATATTTACTGCACTTTGTAACCTATCCACCCGGCGGTGCACACACCTGTAGTGCACATCCTCGTCTGTGTGACGTCTGCCTGTGCGTGTAGTCCGCTGATATGCTTGTGTGCACCTTGTTTGTTGTGTAAATCCCAGAATACCCCTTTGCTGTGAGCTTGCGTGTAGTTATACTTTTTTTAATGCGAATCATAATGTACCTAGGTGTAGGTTTATAAAGTTTTTCGGCAGGGATCAATAAAGATAACAAACTGCGTACTAGATATGGAATAGATTAGTACAGATGTATTTTCAAATCTATGCTAACAGAGCTTTGCTGATATAGAAAAAAAAACGATGTATTATACATACAGCTTATGTATGGAGTCTATTGGACAAAAGCGCTGCTCACATCTAATAGCTGCTTCCGGTGTCTTTCTTTTATACCAATTAGGATGCCTACCGTACTTGTTTCTACATTTAGGACCCCCTAACTAACTATATATGTGAGTAAATAAATTAAATAGGTATCAATAATATTCATGAAGAAAACCTTGACAGAACCTGTTAAGCTCAGTCCGTTTCAAATTTCAGCTTTAATCTCAACGCTAATATTTTAGATGGTTTCCGTCTGTTTATTAAAAGCTCAGTAAAATGTGATCGAACTTGAGAAAGTTTTATAAACAAAAATCATTTAGTATCAATTTTCCAACTCAAACAACGCAACTACCACACAGTTAGCTATGCGGATGACATAGTGATTCTCATAAGCGGACCATTCCAGAGTGAGCTGTGCAACTTAATTCGTACTCGTAACGCATTTAAGATAATGGAAAACTGGTGTACAACACCAACTATCGGTGAATCCGACAAAACAGAGATGGTCATGTTCACGAAGAAACGTAACTTGGGTGCTGTAAAATTTCCCAAGTTATTTAACACCGAACTGTCTATGTCGAACGACGTCAAATATCTAGTCATAGTTCTTTACCATAAGCTGACATGGAACAGCCACTTAGACCAAAAGATAAACAAATCGTGTATCACATTTGGGCATTTGAGTTGACAACCCGTCAATATTGTTTACGGGCAACACATATCCCGTGACTTCGTCGTCTGACGGTGATAATTGGGTGGGACAATTATTGTACTAATGGTGTAGTGATCCGCCCAGGCTTCACATGGTTGCAATTTACTAATTAAATAAACCTAAATGACATGTGTTTAGATTTGAATACAAAAGCAGTATCACGAGTTCCGTTATTTCTGTTAGGATCTAATGAAATTAAGTATTTTTTAGAACTCCCAATTACTGACACAAGAATAAAACTAATCGACTGAGTCGCTCTCATTTGATGCTGCGGCATAAACGTGGCAATTGCTTTTTCGTTATTGTTAATTTATTTACTGTAATTTAAATAATGGTTGTCTCATAGCATCGTCCTCAATATTGACCAACCTCGCAAGCGATGTGCTTCATTGTGTATACAGTATAAAAATACCCACATGTAGTACCTGATTGATATTATAAAGTGCGTCATGCATAATATCAAGAGTTCGAAGTGCTACATTTCGGACCTGCACCCCGCTGAGTAAATTCGTTATAGCCAATCCGCCGCCCCAAAACAAAACCGTAAACCGTTCATTTCGCGTATTCGAGTACCGTTGATGCATGAACCAGCTGTCATTTAGGTCATCCCCACAGACCTACTGGCTTACTTGCAATCGATTCGTGCGGCAAAAATAGACGCTCAAATCCCCCATTAACTCTTCAAAGTAAACCACCTATTGTCCGATGTAAGAAACTTACAACGTGAATCGCAGATTACAGAACAAAATAAAACAACTTTTTTTTCTGAGACGTTAAAATGTCTAACAGTGTTGACAGAGGACGAGATAAAGTTTCAGTAATCGAGTAACTACGTATATAATAAACGTTTTACAAAATTACCGTGTATCATTCCAATTATCAATAAGTATCATTAAAAATCCTAAAACGGTGTGATTAAATCGTAACAAATGAAGAACAATTGTGCTACTTACTGCCTATTTCTATTAAAAAAGATAATTTAATAGGTTCCAGTTCTAGACCCCCACCTAACCTTACTTTAGGTAATAACCTCCACCTAAAAAGAAGTCGACAGTAAGTTGGTTCTGTTCTTATGGAAGGATACCAGACTCAATGCAATTAGGTTCATGACGGCAAAGGATGGCTGAAACGGTACACTTTACTACCGCATCAACTGACTAAACTGAGGACTAAGCACGAATTTTGACAGCTCCGTAAGCGTATCGTCAACGTCAAATTTTGTATGGAAGGAGCCAGTTTGTTCTAACACCTTTTAGGGGCGCTGCTTTGATTCCTTAGAAACTTTGACGATGCGATACGATTAGGGAGCTGTCAAAATTTGTGCTTGGGCCTCTGGAGTCCACTTTCACTTAACAAGAGGTGGAGTGAGGAGTAAACTGCTGTGCCTGGTATGAATGTGTGATCAATTATGTGTACGAAAATTTTGCGTTAACAGCTTAGTAACAACAATAATTTATATTTCAATCGTTCGATCAATTTTATCCTTAACGCCCATTTTTCTGAACTAATTTTGGGTAAAAGTATTATCCTCTAGTCTCTAAAAAATAAAAAAGTTTTATAGATCAAGAAGGTGACAAATGAGCTTGTGGCCCGCCTAATTAGTTAGCGGCCACGATGGCCCTGAGATACCAGGATACACCTTCTCCCAATAAGCCCTGAAACCAACTCTCCAAAGCCACTCAAGAACAAAAAATACAAAACCACCATTAGTTTGCATTATTTCACCGTTCTTTTCTGATTCGAGCGGAAAAAAGCAGTGCAGTACCCTAAAATGAACTATTATCGATTTGGAATAAGTAGTTGAATTCGATATCAATACGCGTCAAATGTCAAGAAGTCTTAGAGAAAATTTAACAACGCCACAACGAATGTAGCGAGAATTAAAAAAAAATCATACATAACTACATGATATTCGACGCGTATCGAGATCGAATTAAACTATACGAATTCAATATTGGTTCGTGCTGAGAGTACTGATTCGTGGAAACTAACCACAGCACTAACTACTAAGGCAGCCAAAAGCTACAACTTTGGTTGCCTTCTGAACTACAGAGTTTGTCAATGGGCTGAGTTAACGCGACGGGCTCTTGCGATAGCCTGCAAACCCCATGCGTTAACCACAAAACTATTTCAAGTTCCTGGCATGAGGATCTCTGTAAGCGCATCATTTAATTATATTTTCTATTAAATAACACACATTTTGTTGACAACGAAATCCTCAAAAACATTAAACGATGATTGAATAAATATTGAATGGGACTTTGAGTGGTTTTGCATTGTCCATTGTCAAGGTGACCAATTTGTCATTGTCCCTTATTGCATGCAAATGAAGTCGTTCAATGGCCTCACTTATCAATAAGAAAGTAACGGTCCAATAATCTTCCTAACGGTTTTAACAGTGCATTTTATCTTATTATTACAAAGCTTTTGTCATGTAAAAATTTTATATCATAGGGATATTTTTAAAAAGCTGGTAGCAACGGCTTAACGTGCCTTCCAAAGTACGTAGGAGCTCGAGGTAATAAGTTTTTGGTCCCCCATCCAATAGCCAACCACTGCCAAAGTTGCTTAACTTTTATGATCACAGGCAGAATGCGCTGCCACCAGCGCCATCGAGATTCTTCATATTGTAATACAGTATAGCTTTTTTATCGAATGCAACCTTCCTTTGTTTGCTTGTGAAAGCTGAAATTTAATTAAATACTTTTAGCATAGCGTGGATAGGATTTCTTGTTCACTTTAAATCCAGGTTGGAAAAGCTCGTAACGTTATTTGTTTCCATCTTAAATTAATGAAAGCTCGTTTTTTGTTTCCATACTAAATTAACAAAAGTTCAATAGTTATTCCACTGCTTTAAAAGGAAAGTTGAAAATCTTGTCGAAAAAATTCTTCCCCATTATATCGTGTTAAACGTTAAATGTTAATTTTAAGTCCAAGCTTCATTTAAAGTTATTATAGTGCTTTGAATTAATTATGTGACTTAAAGACTAGGAAATCATTATGAATTGAACTAATTCTGTCTAATTTTGTTTTTAATCTAGCTGCAGTATAGCTGTCTTGAATTGCAAAAGGACGTAGTTCAAATTTGCATGGAGGGTGGTAGGCAGTTTTCGGCAGACTCCAAATTTTTATGACATGTAGTTGCACTTAATTGTAAATCGTGTGACAAAAAAATTGTATCTCATTTTCTTCATTTTTTAATAATTACGCTAATGTAATATCATGTAATTATTTATTGTCAAATGGCAAGTTTATTTATCTATTTATGTTGCCAAAGCATCGAATATAGAGGAAAGTAACCAAATATGGAATACCATTTTGTTTTAGTATTATAAATAAATATATACTGAAAATCATAAAGTTTTATTCTAATTTATTATCAGTTATACAGTAGCTTGTTATTGTCAGCCTTGATTCACATTATATTAATTAAAAATATAAAATTTTCTCAAACAAACAAAACATCATAAATGATGCTATTAATTATGGAATAGGTACACAAATATGGATTACTATAAAACTACGAATAAAAACCATTTACTTTTATGAGGAACAGGGGGCCAATCGCCTAACGGAAATGCTTTGGAAAACGCTAACGCTTACGATTTTATTTTGTTATTCCTAGCCGCCTGAGGTATTCAAATGCCTCGCGCTCTTTCTTTTTCTTCTGCATTGGTAATAACAATATTAAAAAAAATGAGCGTGAGGTATTCGAAAACCTCAGGCGGCTAGAAATAACAATATAAAATCCTAAGTGTTAGCGTTTCCCAAAGCATTTCCTTTAGGCGATTGGCCCCCAGGAACTTTGATCAGTTTCAAATAGGTTGAGTTCCCTTTTAAAACTGATCGCACTTCCTGTATGTCTGTCCTGTACTCCCAAAAATCACATATCCAGGTGTCGAACTCTGCACCTGCGCATTTACCATGTGTGGAACACGCTTACTACTGCGCCATCTGCTCCTCACGAATAAGATTAAAAGCTTTTCTACTTATAAGAGATACCTTCATATCATTCAACATATTTTTTTAAGAAATCTTTTCCTGCTACTACGATTTTTTTAAGTAAAGATATAATAGTAATAGTCTTATACGGTCACCCCTTTTGAAATCTTTACAAGGATTTTTAAATTCCTCAATTAAAAACACACACATTAATGTTCAGTTGTTAATAACAACTGTTATCTTGTACCTAAAGAGTTTTTGTAAATAGAAGTACTGGTACTCCTATTTACAAAAACAAAAACTTATGTCTTCAAGAACAAGGTCGGATATTAAAGTAACTTCCCATACCATCATCATTTTATTTTACAGACATTTTGTATTGACTAATAAATTATAAGAAAAAATGCAGTTTCGCGAGCTCATCGCAGCAGGTCTCCTAATTAACAAAAGAATTAGGTAGATATGTTAGTGGTTAAATATTTAATCATTTTTGATTTCAGTTTTTTTATGAAAGGGTTGACGACCGGTAAAGATGTGTCATAAAAATTTTGGCATTTATTTTTAAGGAAAACATGGGTGATATTATTTTACAGCACATAATATAATACTTATTTATAGATACGCAAATGCATCGCGACTACGTAATATTTATAATTAATGAGCACATTTAGCAGTAAAAAAAATAATTAATAAAATCATTTTGAGTAATTGATCAGTTGATTTCAGTAAAATTTGGTAATTAATTTGATTAGGGATCGTTTATTAATCAGATGATCAAGTTCGATAGGGAGGGACTGGTTCAAAAAAAAACACGAAATATCTTAACTGGCGGGAGAGGGGTATAATATAATGTGACGTCACGTGTATATATTGGGTCGGGAAAAAGTTTCTTCGCATTTTATATGAAAATTCAAAACATTTTTTAATAAAGTTTATTTACATTTAACTACAGTATGTAGAAGCCATTTTTTTGATAACTCTTTGCCATCTTTATTGGTAAGGTAATTTTGGGGCTTCTGATCAAAAAACCGCGACAAGTGATTTTGGCAGTCCTCTTATTATGTTAACCCGACACTGCCTAAAGAATTCTGAAGAGACCGAAACAGCTAGAAATCTTATGGTGCAAGGTCAGGACTATACGGGGCATGCATTTACACCTCTCAGTCTAACTCTCTTAATTTTAGCTAAAGATGTGTGAAAACTAGCGTATCATGATGAAAAACCACACCCCTACTGTTGATAAATTCCAGCCGCTTTCTCTCAATTTCTTACTTTAACCTCATCAGTTGTTCGCATTAGAGTTCAGAACCGACGGTCCTGCGCTTCGGTAACCGCTCAAATGAATAATGGCCCTCCAATCCCACCTTAGAGTCTGTGAAGTCTCACCGGCCTTTGATCTCGACTTTTTTCGCACGTTCTTGTCGTAAGTGATCCACGTATCATCACCAGTTACCAGCTTCTTCATAAATGGTTCGGTTTCATTACGTCGTAATAAAGAATCAGAAATGAGTACACGGTTCATTAGGTTTATTTCAGTGAGCTCGTGAGCACCCAAATATCGAGCTTTTTTGTGTACCCAGCTTTTTTCAAATGCGCCAAAACTGTTTTGTGGTAAATTCCCAGTTCCTTAGTTACTTCGAAACTACTTTATAAAACTACGATATGCCGACCTTGCTCCACTTTTTCAAAAATAGAATCCATTTTATCCCTAACAGGGCGACCAGAGCGACCTGAACCTTTGACATCAAAATTTCCGTATTGAAAACGCCTAAACCAAATTTGGGCTACTCTCACAGACACTGCACTAGGTCCATAAACATCACAATTTTTTTCGCGGCTTGCCTTGCGTTTATACCTTGTTAGTAGTAAAATTTTAAAATGTGTTGAATTTCTTTATTAGTTTTACTCATCTTAACAGTAAGGAAAAACAAATGAAAATCATATTTTTTTCTAATTTGAAATAAGAATTATCTTCTTTAAAATTTAAACTTTTTAATGATACCAAAACCACCCAGATACAAATGATATAGTCAAAAAGATTTTATTACAAGTTCATACATACTATAATGCGAAAAGACTTTTTCCCTAACCTTTTATTTATTTTTCGTTAAACGCAAGATTTCTTAATCTCATACACGTGGACTCGGAGCACGATTTTAAAATAATATTCTGAAAATTTCAATATATTTTCTTCGAGAACGCCCCGCCGAGAAACGATCATCAATGTAGAATCGTCTTAAGAGTATTTTATTAAATTATCCATCCTTTTTTACCTTAGATCTGTGGAGCTGCGCTATCAACATGACATAGTGCATAACGATATACCCGGGGTGAGGTTCGCTGCCCGCGAATGGTTGCTCAACAACAATGAAGGCTGTTTCTGCCTCAACATCACCAGTGGTATCAACGCAGAGGACGGCTGCTTGCTGAATGGCGCTATGGAACTATTTTCCTGCGTTGGTGAGTTTTACAAATATAAATAAATATTTCTAACACACACCAATCAACCTAGCCCCAAAGTAAGCACTAAGCTTGTGTTATGGGATACTTGATTGACGGTTAAAGGAACTTACCTACAAGTATAGTTCAATCATAATCATACGAAGTTCAATGTTCGAATACATTATACTCGTATTATCCACGTAGTAATTTGATTTGATTTTTAAAGATTGTGTTTTGGGATTAGTATACCTATATCACGAGCATTTGTACACTAGTCATGGATTTTTATTATATTATCTAGATAAATAAACGGATAAATGTATGATATGTATTCTATCCGTTACTAACTATAGTAACGGATAGAATACATATCATACATTCATACCGTTACTACCTATAGTAACGCTTAGAATATTCATCGTATATTCATACATTTATCAGTTTATTTATCTAGATAATATAATAAAATCCATGACTTGGGTACAAATGCTCGTATTCATCGTACAAACCATCTCCAACCGGGATTTGAACCCGTTCGTCGTACTGAGTAGCTGATACCTTGAAACTCGGCGTACATAACCACTCGCGCCACGGAGGTCGTTTAAAAAGAAGAATAGAACACGTGCTATAAAAACAATTAAGCTGCAATAAAGTGTCATATTTTACGACGCTTGTTTTACTTAAAACCTTGGACGAAGAATCTGCATAGTCTTATAGTACAGTCAATCTGTAGGTTGAGTGGTGAAAAAAAAACCTAAAGGGTAAGTCTTGTTTTTTCTGTTGCCAAATGACGTCAGTAAGCCACCTTGGCGATGGGCATGTTCAACTCGTAGGCGTTTTTTGAAAAACTCAAAAAAACTGTAAAAAAATTTTTGAAACGCTTTTTCTTGTTTTGTATGCATTTTAGAAACTTTTTTTTCAACCATAATTGTAGAGGGCGTTGAGTGCTACAATTTATGTCATTGTTGCAATCTCGTACAACAAAAAATGCGCATTGTAGGTGGCGCTAAAGTCTCAAAAAAAGTGTTTTGGGCAGTTCAAGTACACATTTGCAGTGCACATTTCAATGTACGTTTTTACTATTTTTTTTTTCAATCATGAAAAAAATAAAACTGTTTTTTTTCTTTTTTTTTTCTTTTTCAATCACGAAAAAAAATAAAAAATAGTAAAACGTACATTGAAATGTGCACTGCAAATGTGTACTTGAACTGCCCAAAACCGCTCTATTGGATTTTTCATACCTCTGCGCAATTTATAACTTGAAAACGGTAAGTAATACAAAAAAATTGTTTATACAAAAGTTGTTGGTAATTATGTACGAAACAACTTTGCTATTTAAAGTTTTCTATTAAAATGATATTTTCAGGGTGAAAAAGTGAAAAAACACTTTTTTGAGACTTTAGCGCCACCTACAATGCGCATTTTTTGTTGTACGAGATTGCAACAATGACATAAATTGTAGCACTCAACGCACTCTACAATTATGGTCGAAAAAAAAGTTTCTAAAATGCATACAAAACAAGAAAAAAGCGTTTCAAAAAAATTTTGACAGTTTTTTTGATTTTTCAAAAAACGCCTACGAGTTGAACATGGCCATCGCCAAGGTAAGCCACCTTCACCTTCACTGACGTCATTTGGCAACAGAAAAAACAAGACTTACCCTTTAGGTTTTTTTTTCACTGAAACGATATTTTTTTCGACAGATTGACTGTACTATTAAACCTAGGTCTTAAAACAGAGTTATACTGTTCTAGATAGGTTCTAGGTAATTGTCAGTCTAGTGGTCGTAGTGCGGCGACAGGCGTATTTAAATTTAGTTTGCGTTGGGCTTGAAAGTGTAGTCCTTTAAATCTTGCGAGCTCAGTCTTGTTTGATACAAACAAAAGCAATTCAGGATATCACATTGTGTGTTTACGCTTTCTTAACATATTTGAATTTTATATCAAACAATAATGTTTAATATGGATAGGTAAAATGTATTAGTACCTAACCCATAAAATAAAACCGAATAATTAATTTTGTAGTGGGTACCACAGATTATCTAATCCATGGAGATTCTAATAAGAACGTAGAATATGATCTCTTCGCTGATGCTTAACTCTGAATAGTTTTTTACTTTACCTTTAAGCTGAGGACACACTATAGTAAACTACACTACACTATAGTATATCATAGTACATTTTTGGATCATTCAAAATTAACGGGAAATAAAACAATTCGTTGATTAATTATTAATTCTCAAATAATCATCATCATCAGCCTCTTAATGTCCCCATTGCTGGGGTACAGGCCTAGCCTATGGTTTTTTTTTTATTTGAATCAGATTATTTAGATGGTTTAGCATTTTAGCATATGGCTGTTTGTTTTTCGTTATTTGATACGAAAAACATAACATTACATTTTATTATGTAATTTACATTGGGGTAAGTTAGTATTGTATTGTTTTTTTTTTGTAATAGGTCATTTGATAATTTTGGGTTAGAGATATGTAAATTTAGATAGAGTGTAGTTGTAGGAATGGAGTTTATAGTGTGAGTTATTAGCTGTTATTATATTATTTCAGTGTGTTTACGATGGTTTTACATAGATCGATAAATGAATTTAAGCATGATTTCTTTTGCATGAGCTCGGTTATAGTATAAGGATCGATTTGATGGTATGAGCAGAGGCGGGTATGTTCCGCCCGCGTAAGTGTCTAGCGGGGGCATTCCCGTATTAAGTGGTTAAGCGTTTGGATTTTGTTCGAGTCACAGTTGCTTTGTCAGTTGCGGCTATCTTGAACCGATGTAGGTACTGACGGTGATAGCCGTGGCCGGTAAGTATTTGTGTGAGGTGGAAGGAAGGCTCGATATGACTGAAGAGCTCCGTTATTGAGTCAATATCGGGAAGCAGATTAATTGTGTGTGTGCCAGTAGTTGAGATTTTATATCGGTCATTGTGGGTGGTTCTGTTTACATTTCGTATGTTCAATTTGACATAGCTTATAGGGAACTGGGCAAAGTCAGGGCGTTTGTGGATGTTTGCGGCACTTTTGGCCGCGATGTCCGCTGCCTCGTTGCCATCAAGACCGACATGTGCCTTTACCCATGCAAATTTCACGCAGCCAGTGTGTAGGTGAATGAGAGAATGTATGTTAGTAGCGAAGTTATTGGTAGTATTTCTTTCTTCCAGGACTTGGAGAGCTGAGTGGCTGTTAGAGAGGCGGACATGATTTTATGGTCGACTATCCAGTGCATCGCCTGTTCAATGGCGAGTAATTCCGCCTGGAAAACAGAACAACTGTCGTGCAATTTGAGTTTTTTAATTATGGGTTGTGAGTGAGGTTTGTATATGACGTAAGCAGCGCCGACTTTGCCATTTTCTAGTTTGCTTCCGTCGGTGTAGATTTTAGTTGCCTCAGGAGAGCAAGCGTCGTCAATTTCGGTTTGCGTACATGCCTTGAAGAACGTAATAGATTGTCGGATTGCTGGATGTTCTAGTTTATGTGGAGGTGTAGGTTTATGGAGCACAATATCTTCCGGGAGATAAGGGCACGTACCGTCAAGTCTAGCACGTTCCATAATGCAGACTTCTTGTACTTTTAAGTCCAGCGCTAGCAAATTGAGCTAGTGCTATTGCTGCGTTTGTAGAAATTGTTCGAAATCCACGTATCATTTTTATGGCAAAGCCGCGTTGGAGGGATAGTAGTCTATTGCACACTTTTTTTATATTTGACTGCGTCTCCCCAAATACCAGTAGCGTATGTAATAATCGGTTGGATAACTTGATTGTAAATGGTGGTTATGTTTTCACTGCGAATGCCCCAGGTGGGGCGAACAAATTTGCATAGGGTCTTGTAGATTTCAATGGCTTTGCAGATGGCGTATTCGACATGTTTGACAAAGGTAAGTTGTTGGTCTATGATGATACCTAATAATTTTATTTCCGGCTGGAATTCGAGCTTTATGCCGCGATGGTGTATTACAGCTTTACGGGAAGTGGGGGTGAAGCCAATAAGTTTTCGTGGGGCCAAAGGTAAGTTTGTTGTTTTCACCCCATTGCGTGATTGTTTCCAAGGCAATATTCGTGTCACGCTGGAGTTGCATCAGGTCATCGGCCTGGCATACAACTAATACATGGTCCTGCAAAGCAGCTTGTTGGGAATGTTGGAATAGGGAGATTGGGCCATGACCCACCACGCGGGCCCAGTGCGTACTGGCGGGTGGTAACGACTGCAGATGCAACCGAGACCAACGGCTTAAAGTGCCTTCCGAAGCACGGAGGAACTCGAGATAGAAATTTTTGGTCACCCAGCCAATGACCGACCACTGCGAAAGTTGCTTAACTACAACGATCGCAGTCGAACGCGCTAACCACTTGCGCCATCGAGCTCCTCCCGCCAACGAACTCCTCGTTCTCTCAAATAATAATAAGTAAAAATATAATTGCTTATAGTGTAATGTATGTGCCAAGCTCAATATATTATTGGCATTAGATATTTTTAAGGCTACGCTATCCTTAACGGAACTGTATTCACTGCGACCTGAAAGGTCTATTGTGACTCGCCACCAAACTAAATTGCCTATCCCTTTTAGGGCAATGGCTTCTAAGGTAGATTCTAGCTTAATGCCATATTATAGATTAGCTAGGGACCATGCAAAGCATATATAGATAGGTACGCCGCTTGCATTGCAGTGTCACCAATGCAATACGTATGCGTTTTTAAATACTTTTGCCACTGAGCAAATAGAATAGGCTATGAGCAATCAGCGTGGCTTTTATCTTATTGCATAAACTCTGCATTAAAGTCGTAGTATAGTGCAAGTAACACCATATCATCACCTTCAACAAGTAAGTGTCCCAAGGCCGCTGTAGCTCAGGCCTTTATATGGGCTAATAGGTGGCTACCCGTTATGGGAATTATCAGTGAACACTGCTGTGTTCTATGGGAATAATGGTGTGACCTTATGCTTAGTATATTATATTATAAGTATTATTAAATACATGAACATTTGGTTCACTGGTTTGCTAGTTGTTATTATTAGGCGAGCCCTTCGCTCCC